ACATTTCTGACAAACTAACTCTAAAATCACAAGAAATATGTATTAGTTTTCTATTGCTGCCATAACAAATTATCACCAACTTAGTAAATTAAGAATAACATGAATAGCACCCACTTATTAACTTGTAACCCAGTTCCCTAGGTCATAAGTCTGGGTTGTCTCAGTTGATTTCTTACAGTTTTACGAAGTCAAAATTAAGATGTCAAACAGGCTCTTATCTGAACACTGAAATAAATCTGCTTCCAAGCTCTTCGAGGTTGTTGGCCAAATTCAGTTTCTTGTGGTGAGAGTACTTCCTTACTGTCAGCGCCGTCACCCTTAGCTTCAAAAGGTCCCGTCCCAAGTCCCTGAACAAGGGCTGCTACATCTCAGAACAAGCAACAGTACATCAAATCCTTCTTGTACTTGGATTCTCTGTAACTTCCCTTCTGCTGCAGCTCTCTTCTGCCTCCAGCTGGAGTAAATTCTAATTTTAAGGGTTCATTTGATTACATTTATTCCACCTGAAATAACCTAAGATAACCTCCCTATCTTAAGATCCATAATTTTAGTTATATCTGCAAAGTCCTTGTTGCCATCTAAGACAACACTTTCACAGGATCCAGAGATTAGAAATGGACATCTTTGATCAAGTTATTTTGCTTGCCACAAAGGGTTAAAGTCTAAAAACAGTTCACACAATATTGGAAAAGAAAATGAGATGGGATTTGTCCAACCAAAACTAAGACTTCATCTAAAACAATATAAATTAAAACCATCTGGCATAGACATAGGAGGAACAGCTAGATCAACGGAACAGCTTAGAAAGCCTTACAATATTCAGAAACTTGCTATTGGACAAAGGTGACATTACCAATCAGCAGGGATATGACAGACAATCTAATAAACATAAGTAGGAAAATTAGTTCCTTATATGAAATATACTCTCACACACATATATACATACAAATAAAGCTGTCCAAAGCAAATTCTTGAAATATTTAAAAGAAAATATGACATTAGAGCAGGGAAAGTGTTCATATCTAGGACACAAAAAGCAGAAACTATAAAGAAAAAGTGATAAATTTTATCATAGTAAAAATTTTAGAAGTATCAACTGTACCATAAGACACATTATAGATGAAGTTTTTTAGAAGTCTCTTCTTGCAGAAAATAATTAAATACTGTGCATATAATTAAATACTGTGCTATGAATACCACAAATCAATTACAAAAATGCATATTCAGAAAAGTGAGTGAAATGATATGAACGGGCAATTTATCAAAAAGGAAAACTGCGTAGCCAATAAGCAGCTTGTGTAACTGCCCTATAATCTGTAGGGAGCCCCACATGTTAGGTGCCAGAATGTAGGCAACCAGTCCCACATCCCACCCGTGGGTACCCCGAGTTCAGTGGTGACAAAGAAATGAGAAAAAGACAGATTAAGAATACATGTAGTGGGACCAGAAAGCCAGTGTGTGAAGGAGAGTGCAAAGGCCCCGAGCTCTGATCTTCCACAGTATTTATTGGTTACAATCACTTTCATCTATAGGGCAGGTGGTGGAGTGAAGATAGGGAGAAGGTGATGTGATGGTAGGGTGAATCAGCCAGCCAGAACAGATGTGTCATTCTAAAGATTGCTTACAGTGGGAGTTTGAGAGTTTCACAAAACAAGAACATGTGGTTATCTTTAGCCTATTATCTACGTGCAGCTGGTGGAACTGGGACCTTACAAGGAGCCTACAAATCTGGTTACATCTTAGTGCTATGAAGGGGTTTTACATTCTTGAGCACAGTGCTTATGGTAACAGAGCCTAGGTCACCCTGCACCGGAACATGAGGCATGGAGACGTTTGCCTCCCTAGTGGCCTCCCTCAGTTTGCTGCAGTTTGTTGTTCCCAGTTGATGTGTTGATAATAACCAATTTACGTAGGCACTCTGTAAGTCCTTTCTCCTTTGCTGCTTTCCCCAACATAATCAGGAAAAAAACAAAATACAATGAGATTCCATTATGTACCTGTGATAGAAAAAAAAATAAGGCTGAAAATTTGAAGTGTTTATAAGGATATGGGGACCAAGAAGAGGAAATAGTATGTGTGCACATGGTGAGTGAAGCCTGCAGCAGCACGAGTTATACTTTTGCAAGGAATTCTTTATGATTGCAGTTTAAGCATAAGGTAGGAAGTAAGGAAAAAGGGGTTAAAGAAGCTGACAGATTATGTAGGGCTTTGAATGCTGTGATGTTTGTGTTTTCTATAGAAGGAAATGGTAAGATAGTGAAAGATTTCCAGGAGGGAAGCAAAAATGTCAGGTTTGGATTGTACAAAGATTGTTCTGGAAGCAAATTGGAGAATGTTCAGAAGCGGGTAGCTGAAGACAATAGTTAGGATGCCCAATCAGTGTCTCACAGAGACTATGAGAGTGTGATAAAGGCAGTAGCCATAGGGATGGAGACAAGATGTAAATAGATGCCACTAAAGAGAAAGAATCAGCAGAACTTGATCAGGGATAAGGAATGAAGGGTAAGAAACTGGGACAGTAATGGAAGTTTCAGGATTAGCCAACAGGGTAAATGATGCAGCTCACTGGAAAAGTTTCCTGCTTGGGAGAGTAAATTTGCAACAGACCAAAGTGATGAATTCAGAAGTACCTTTTGGGATCTTATAGTCAGTTGTTTCTGTGGGTCTGAAGCTCAGTAGGAAGGTCTAGGCAGGACATTAAGTTTTAGCAGTCATTGGTATATTAATGGCTGGTAAACACTGTCCATGGATAACATCACCTATAAGGATAAATGGGGGAAATAAAAGAGAGCTAAGAACAGAATCCCAGCAATCAACATCTGGGAGATGGAGCTGGGTAAAATCTGAAAAGGGGGCTGAAAAGGAATAAGACTGATAGAGGCAAAATAGTGGACTTCAAGAAACAAAGGGAAGAGTCGCCAAAAAGAGGACACACCTGGCAGAGGCCAATACTGAGGAGACATGAAGATATAAACTAATGGTTGCCACTCAGTTTCTCGATTGTAAAGCACACTGGTTATGTGGGTCTCTAGTAGAAGTAGGTGGTTGTGGGTTGAGAAGTAAATAAGAGGTGATTTTAATTAGTGACATAACCTTCTCCAAAAGCTAGGTTGTGATGGCAGTAGGAATTGTAAGTTGAAGGACTGTTTTCTTTTTTCTTTTTTTAGGGTGATAGCCCCTCAAAGATATGTACCTATTTGTGGGAAATAGGTAGTCCAGAGGGAGAAGCTGGTGTTAAAGGAGAAAGGAAGGACAATGAGAGGACTGAGTTGCTAAGCATCAGGAGGGGGTGGTGACCAGAGGGCTTCACTGCAGATGGGAGAAGGGGCCTCTTCCATGGAAACGGGGTGGGCTACAGAGGAAAGGTGGGCTCAGCTATAGGTGAGCCTGTTTCTAAGTGGGAAGTGGGGACATGTACTTCTCTCTGATGGCCATGTTTTCTTAGTGAGATAATTTTCCAAGTAAGAGAATAGAGATACGGGACAGGGATTTGAACATTGTTGAAGGATGGCGGAAGTTGCTGACTTGGCTTATGAAGATGACAACTTGCTGTCAATCAGCAAAGGCACAGGTGTGGTTGGAGACCACTAGAGTTTTTGGTAGCAGCAATCTCTGTGTGTGTGTGTGTGTGTGCACGCGCATGTGCGTGCATTTGCTAGCAGTGCTCAACCACCACGGTGTATACAGAATTTAAACAGTCTGAATGTTTAGGTCAAATCTATTTGAGATATTACTAGTTGAGTGAGGCAGAAGGACAAGGATTAATATTTATGGAGTGATCTTGGACATGGGAATTAATTTCTCTAAACCTCAGTTTCTCTATAAAATGGGACTAAAAATACTACCTGAGTTGTTTTAAGAATTAAAGGAGATAATACAGCGTTCCTCACATTTTTAAATGTGATCCTCAATAAGAAATATGTAGAAGTATTTTAACAAGAAATATGTATGTTATTGTGAGAATTATAAGAGTTACTGTGAGTCCGCAATGCCTTCACCAAAATACATGGGAACTTATGTATGTCCAAATTCAGAATTTCGGGAAAGGAAATTTTAGAACACATATAACACTCTGTCAGGGATTACAGAAGTATCAAAAATGAAACATCAAACTTTTCACAGAAAAATATATAAATATTCACATAAACTATGAACAAAGACTATAAATAGCTTCACCTCAGTTTTGGACCAGACATTTTGGGGTTTTTTTGGAGCTTTTTGGACTTTGAAACCGCAGAAAAGAAATTGTGGAGAATTACATAGAGAGGTAGATAGATAATGCAAACATAGACATAGATATACATATAGAGATATTAGATATATAGTGTTTTTCAGTGCCTGGCATATAAATAATATTGTTAGTACAGATATATTTTATTTTTAAGTTGAGGGTCCTCACCTACCAAAGTAATTTTTGACCTGCTAATAAGTTGTGACTCACAGTCTGAAAAGTGCGGATATATAATGATACATAAATGATTAGCTTGATCCCTGGATCATACACAGTATGCTCTCAACACAAGTTAAAAGGTGAAAAATGCCATTTTATGTTTCTATAACGTTTTTACCTTTCAAAAATCTTTTAATTACATAGTTGCTATTTATCTTCAGTCACTTTATCAGAACTGAAGTAAATGATTTGTCTCTTAATCTACTTTTGAGAGTTTCATGTTTCAATTATTTTATCTTGAACAGTAGGAAATTTAAATTATTTTAATTCACACCTTCCTGTAGCTTTTATATCTTGACACCTAAAGTACTTTGTAGGTTTTCTTTATTTTATATGAAATAGATTATTTTATTGCACAGATAAAGAAATAGAACTAAAAACTCAAGCCATTTGTCTGAGGTTACAAAATGTACTATTTCTATGTAGAACTTGCCCAATAGTATATACAGTTTAAGAATGACTTTCAAGCACTTTGTTATTCACTTCTTAAAGTGAGTCAAAGACACTCCTATCTGAACGCCCCTTATAATCTTTGTGTTTTGTTTTGTAGTTCTCTTGGAGATGTTAAAATAGCTGAAGTGAATGTCAAGGGTTTGTTCATAAAGCTCATTAACTCTTCCCTTGACAAAGAAATGGCCATTGGAGATCATATTCTCCAGCAAAATGTGAATGGACAAACAATTTCTTTGTACCAATTCCTTCCAAATATCATAATGCAGGCCAATTCCACAGTAACCGTGAGTATAAGAGTATAAATACTGTACATTAGAATTGTACACGACAAACTTATTGACACTGTCGGCCTGTGGCTCAGCACTGTCTCATTATCACTTGATTTGGATCTGAACATAAGATGTGATTTTGTTGTTGTTGATTAATTACACCACACTGTCCATCTTCTGGATGTAAATTAATACCCATAGTAAAATTTCCACAGCTGTCTTCAATTTTGTGTACAATATTTTGTTTTTATAATTTAACTATTAAAATGAAATTCCTTATTTTCTGAAACCAAGTAAACATAGACTTGAAAAGACAAGCAAAGAGATTATTTGCTTAGAGAACAGATAATCAGCTGATGCAGGAGGGGTTCCTCTCTTTCTCATTTTTTCCTTTAAGCACTATAGAGTAGCTGTTTGGTGTTACATAGCTTAAACATTGTATGTGATCAAGTCATTATATTTAAAAACTTAATCTGTTCAAAAAGATTATGTCAGAGTAACCCTATGACATTTACAAAATTGTATTAGACTCCAGCGGTATTTGTCATTAACAATTTTCTTACAGGTATGGGCAGCAGCATCTGAAGCAAAGCATCAACCTCCATCAGATTTTCTTTGGAAAGAACAAGACAAGTTTAGAGCAAGTCCTGATTGTATAACAATCCTGTGTGAACCGAATGGTCAAGTTAGTTTCTGGTTCTTAACAGTCTTTTTATTTTTTAAATATTGTGTTTATTAAGCATATCTGTATTTTTTATCTTTATTTTGTACAGTGGATCTAAGTGCATAAATGTCAGTAAAATTGACTTTATGCCTAAAAGATTATTTTATTTTCTTGTCAGTTTCTTACAAATTTACTTATTTTTTTATTTCAATAGTTTGGGGGAACATGTGGTGTTTGGTTACATGGATAACCATGTTGCCAGGTGGGAGAGCGCTCATTAGTTCTTAAGTGGCGGTATTCCATATTGTGTATATACCACATTTTCTTTATCCACTGTTGCTTGTTGAGCATTTGGGCTGGTTTTTCACTGAATGGATAGTTCTCCTTACGTTCCCCATTCTCTTAGCTCACTCAATTACTTTTTCATCCTTAAAAGCTTGAATAGAACCATCACTAAATGCCACAACACATTAGGCAAGTCAACAGCATTCTCTTCCCAATGTCAAAGGGCCCAAGAGCTACGTACAATTTGGCAAAAGTAATTTTGATATCTCATATTTCTAGGAAGGATCTTCAACTTTCAAAGTCAAGGGAAGATTTTATTTGTGATATTTAGCCTGAAGAGTGGGAGAAGGAAGGTACTTCATTATGGGGCTTTTCTATTTATTTTTTCATTTCTCAAATATGTATTGAGATTCTTCTCTATTTTAGAGCTATGCTAAGTACTGGGAATATAACAGATTAAGATATAGTATCCGCACTCAAAAAACTAATATTCTAATGAAAGAGCTTACAGTATTAATTTGAAGTGACTATACTTTACTCCCTTTAAAATTAAGGGTTTCAGCAATAGCTTTGTGTAATGTTTTCCCAGTACTTGACAACTTTATATTTTCACTCAGCCTTTCTGTTGGTATAATATTAGCATAAATATATACGCATGTATGCACCATTAACATTCAAAGGTATTTCTTTTTACAACAACAAAAAAGTTAATCGTTTTTCAAAATAGTTTTTAGATTATATTTACATACTTGTCTTTTTCTTATCCCCAGTCCAACTTACTATGCCATATAACTACTAACCCACAAAATATGTTAAGCATAATCTGTCTCTGGGTTTCTTTTTTGCTGCATTTTAATCTATGTTGAGATGGACTTTCCCTTTAAAATAGACTTGGCTAATTTCTTTTTCTTTTCTTTTCTTTCTTTCTTTTTTTTTTTTTTTGTTTTTTGTTTTTGAGGCAGAGTCTCACACTGTCTCCCAGACTGGAGTGCAATGTGCGATCTTGTCTGACTGCAACCTGTGCCTCCTGGGTTCATATGCTTCTCCTGCCTCAGCCTCTGACTAGCTAGGATTATAGGTGCACACCACCGTATCTGGCTAATTTTTTTGTGTTTTTAGTAGAGATGGGGTTTCACCCTGTTAGCCAGACTGGTCTCGAACTCCTGACCTCATGATCCTCCCACTTCGGCCACCCAAAGTGCTGGAATTACAGGCATGAGCTACTGCCCCCAGCCAGGGCTAACGTCTGAAGAGTCTTTTTGCGGGACCAATTGTTAGATGGAAAGAGCACCCATTACATGTAACTTAGCAGGCTTCACCCACTCAGCTTTAGATCTCCTTGTGGGCTTGAACTGAATTCTATAATACTTCTCTGATGGGGAAAATAAGGCTACACAATCTAAATTATTTACTTGGATTAATTTTAACTGATGGGGATAGTATGACTACACTAAGTTATTTACTTAGATTAATTTTCACTGATGGTGGAAAATAAGGATATACAATCTGAGGAGTTATTTACTCAGCCTCATAAGAGATCATTAGCAAAACCCAGTTCAGAATTAAGGCATTCTTGTCTCCTAACTTTCTTCATAGTTATCCACTCTGCAAACTGGTTTGTGGTTTCTACTTTGTATGTGTGTTGCTCCAGGCACTGAATGTCAAACCAGACAGACCAGATCCCTGAGCTCCTGGAATGCAGATTTTAATAAATTTTCATTCCTTGCAACTGAATTAGGCTTTATACAGACTATTCCTTTTACCCAGTGATTTGAATAACTTTGCACATACAGAATCAGACCATTTCTGTGGGGTGACGTAAGCACAGATAACTGTGCCTGCTTATGAAAGACTGAACCTGATTGATTGAGCCATATGGAAAATATTTAAATATATTTTGTATCTGTCAGACATGGTACTAGAAAAAAGAACATAAATATTTCACACTTCTTGTCCTCAATAAACTCAGAGTCTACTAGTAGAAATTGTTATGTAATAATAAATAATTGTAATACAGTGAAACAATGCTTTCGTAAAGTACATGCAGCCCAGGTCAGAAATATCAACTCTATAAAGGAGAGCATGAGAAAAAGCATTGAGAGGAAGAGCCATGTGCTGGGAGTCTGTAGAGGAGAGGAGTTAGCCCACCTCACCTGAACCACAGTGATCTTACCCCTTTTCACCTCTTGGACTCTCCTGTTTCCATGCTGCTCCAAGCACTCTGCTCTAGCCACACTGGCCTCCTCATACTGCTTTTACTTTCTAGTGCTTGACTGCTCCTTCACACCACAGGGCCTTTGTGCATGTTCTTGCCTCTCCATAGACTCTCTTCCCTCCGTTTTTACCTGTTAAATCCTACCTGCCCTTCAGAACTCACTTTAAGCCTTTTTTTTTTTCCTGAGTCACATTCCATTGAAAATTCTACCCCATGGTAAAGCCATATGCATTATTTAATCAACTAGAAAATATTTTCCTTAATAGGCAGGAATGTGTCTTTAAGTCAGTTTGAAATCCTAATGTAAGTATAGAGTTCTTTTTCTAATAAATTCATTTTCATTCTCACTTTAATAGCACTGGATATTACTATCTGCAACCCCCAGGTACATTTTCCTTAAAAAGACAGGTTACTGCCTTTTCATAGACATGCTGAAAAACAGACCCAAAGTATCATCATGACCCTGGAATTGCTTTCTATTTATATAATTTGTGTGTAGAAAATAATCCATCTCTTGTGAAAAAAAGTCACAGAGCCTGTAATCCACTGTCTAAAATAATAGCCAGCTATACATATCAGAGTAGACCGTTTCTGGACCTGAATGATATTGTAAGATGGGGCAAAGAGAAGTTATATAATGGGTCTTTTTTTTTTCCCTTTAGACAGAGTCTCATTCTGTTGCCAGGCTGGAGCGCAATGGCATGATCTCAGCTCACTCTGACTCCCTGGTTCAAGTGATTCTCCTGCCTCAGCCTCCCGAGTAGCTGGGGTTACAGGAACATAGCACCATGCCAAGCTAATTTTTGTACTTTAAGTAGAGATGTGGTCTCACCATGTTGGCCAGGATGGTCTCAATCTCCAGACCTCGTGATCCACCTGCCTCAGCCTCCCAAAGTGTTGAGATTACAGACGTGAACCACTGCACCCGGCCTGGGTCATTTTTAAAAAGAAGCCTAAAATAAAGTATATCTTACACTACTTTTTGAGCCATCTTGTCACTAACATGGCAATGGTTAATATTCAGTACAGCTACAAATCTTATGGCTTAATATAAAGGTGGCTTTTAGTTTTGCTTTGCCATGTGTTAACTATATAGTTATTGTACTTTCTTATCTGTAAAGTAAGAGATTGTATATTATAATCACTAAGATCCCATGAGTCTATGGACTTTTAAAGCAGGGATAGTTTTTTTTTTTTAACCAGTCACACTGTTGTCCCATATGGATTTGGAGCCTCTAAATTACATATGAAATAATTAACAAATGTCCTATGTTTATCAATGCCTGGTACTTTCCCAATGTATTGTTTTGCATTAGAGATCCAGATGTGGAACAGACCAGTCCTATACAGTAAGAACTCATTGAAGGGCTGTTTATAGATGCCTTATTTCATTTGATTCTCAGTAATGTTTCAGGATTTTACAACGGAAAAAAAAATGGGGCTTGAAAAGTTAAATGGCTTGTCCAAGGTCACATGACAAGTAACATGATCGAACTAAAATAAAACCGTATCCGATAGCTCCCAATAACTTTTCTGTTGTACTAAAAATAGTTTGCAAGTTTCATGTGGCCAACATTCTAGAGCTGAGGCTAAATTTTATCACATTATCATCATTAGTGAATATTGTTAAGTTCCTACAATACAGGGAAAAATATAATACTGCCTTGGCTAGGAAAGGCACACATCTCATTAAGGGATATCACACTAAAAAGATCATGAACATATTTTCAAAATATGATATGTTTGAGCTACTAAAAGGGAGAATTCCTAACTAATGACCTGTAGCAAAAGTCTATTTTTTTTTTTTGCTGTAATCTATGAAAATAAACTTAGAAAAAAGAGAAAGAAAAAAAGAATTAAAAAAAAAAAAAAGAATGAAGGAGAGGAAGGAAGAGGAAGAGGGAGAGAGAATGGGGGTGTTGCTTTATTGCCCGGGCTAGAATGCAGTCTAAAAATGGGTATCTCTATGATTGTGCTTAATAATAGAGACATGAAAAAAAAATGAGGGAAGAAAATAACGAACAAGCAGCCAATCAATATTTCATTTAAACCAGTAAATAGGTGTGATGTGGTACTGATAAGAGTGTATATTTTGTGTATTTAAAGTGGAGAGCTCTATAAATGTTGGTTAAGTTTACTTGTTCCGGATCTGAGTTCAAATCCTGGATATTGTTGTTAATTTTCTGTCTCATTGATCTGTCTAATATTGATGTTGAAGTCTCCCTCTATTATTGTATGGGAGTCTAAGTCTCTTTATAAGTCTTATGTATCTGGGTATTCCTGTAGTGGATGCGTATATATTTAGGATATTTAGCTCTTCTTGTTGCATTGATCCTTTTATTGTTATGTAATATCCTTCTTTGCTTCTGCTCTTTGTTGCTTTAAAGTCTATTTTATCAGAGGCAAAAATCACAACTCCTGCTTTTTATTTATTTATTTATTTTTGCTCTCCATTTGGTTGGTAAATCTTTCTCCATCCCTTTGTTTTGAGTCTTTGTGTATCCTTGCATGTGAGATGGGTCTGGATGCAACATACCGATGGGTTTTGGCTTTTTTTGCCTGTCTGTGTCTTTGGATTGGGGGATTTAGTTGATTTAAATTTAGAATTCAATTGATCAATTCGGCTGTTAAAACTTGTGCATACTTCGCAAAGTTCTCCTGTTGTGTTTTTCAGCTCCATTAATTTACTTATATTCCTCTCTAAATTGTGTATTCTAGTTAACATTTCATCAAACCTTTTTTCAAAGTTCTTAGTTTCTTTGCATTGAGTTAGAACAAGTTCTTTTAACTCACAGAAGGTTCTTATCATCCACCTTTTGAAGCCTGCTTCTGTTAATGGAACACACTCGTTCTCCATCAGGCCTTGTTCCGTTGCTGATGAGGAACTGTGATCCCCTGTAGAGGGAGAGGCATTCTGATTTGGGGTATTCTCAGCCTTTTTAGGCTGGTTTCTTCCCTTCATTATAGATTTATCCATCTGTGGTCTTTATAATTACTGTCTTTATAATTGGGTTTCTGAGTGGATATCCAACTTGTTGATTCCCAGTGCTAAAATCTGAGCAACCCACTGCGCTGGCCAAAACAGCAGTATTAAGATTGATGGTGCTTTTCTGACTCTGCACCAAGAACCACCACACCAAGGCAGCGGCAAAACCGCCTCGCCAGCCACAAGAGTCGCACTGGCAACCCGTGGGGCTCCTCTGCTGGGAATCTCCTGGTGTGTGAGCGATAAAAATTCGTCTGAAAATGTGGCGTCCTCTCGTTCTCTGCACTTTCACTGGGAGCTACAATCCCAAGCTGCTAGTGATCAGCAATCTTGGATCGAAAATAAACTGTTTTAAAAAGAATGCATCTTTCTCTGCTGGAAGCTTGGCCTAGCTGCACTTGCCTTGTGTTGTCTTTATGTTACTTGTCAAGCCAAGCAGAGGGGTGTTCAGTGGTTACAGCGTAAAGTTCAAACCTCTACTTTGGTAAGCTAAAAACAGACCACTAGAACAAATAGAATGTTAGAACACTTTTTCCATGTTGAATAGAAATATAACTGTTAGTCTCTATACAGGATTTTCCTGAATAATTTTGACACATGTATGTTGTGCACATGTCACATATTCAGGAAAGCCAAGCAAACTCCAGCTTTAGTGCTCATGGGTCTCCTTAATACTACCCCCTGGGATTCTAGCCTGGAGAACGTGTTTTCTTGTCCATATCTCTAGTTCTACTGCCCATTTTCCCATCTCAGATAAGATACACACACACACACACACACACACACACACAAAAACACAAACACACACACACACACACACACCGTGTCTTAAATGTTTAAAATCTTAGTAATATTACCATTACTTTTTGCACAGTTCTTTACAGTTATGAAATTCAGTAGCTGGATGCATTTTACAATACTTTAGTAAAGCAGTTCCCACTACCGCTGTCTCAGTTTTACATATGATAGAAAGTAACTTACCTATCTGCGGTTATGCTGCTCGTAATTTTCAGAACAGGAAACTAAGGCTGAGATGTCTTACAATACCTTCATCATGTAGTTCGCTAAGCCACACACACAGGTAAATCACACAATATAATTCTTTTTTTTTTTTTTTTTTTTTTTTTTTTTTTTTTTTTTTTGAGATGGAGTCTTGCTCTGTTGCCAGGCTGGAGTTCAGTGTCATGATCTCGGCTCACTGCAACCTCCATCTCTTGAGTTCAAGTGATTTTCCTGCCTCAGCCTCCCAAGTAGCTGGGACTACAGATGTGTGCCACCATGCCTAGCTAATTTTTGAAGTTTTAGTAGAGATGAGATTTCACTATGTTGGCCAGGAAAGTCTCAATCTCTTGGCCTTATAATCCACCCGTCTTGGCCTCCCAAAGTGCTGGGATTACAGGTGTGAGCCACTGAGCCCAGCCCATTTTTAAAATTCTGTTGGACCGTATCTTACACTGTAAACAAAGAACAACTCAAAATGGATAAGAGACCTAAATGTAATACCTAAAACCATAATCCTGCTAGGAAAGAACATTAGGGAAGAGCTCCTTGATGTAGTGCATTGCAGTGATTTCTTGGTCTCACACCAAAGCTCAGGCTACAAAACCAAAAATAAATAAAAGGGGAGTATGTCAAACTAAAAAGTTTCTATACAGTAAAGGAAACAACCAACAAAATAAAACAGCAACCTACCAACTAGGAAAAACATGTTTGCAAACCACATATCTGAGAAGAAGGTGGTATTCAAAATGTATAGGAACTTCTACAACTCAACGGCAGAAAACAACCTGATTTAGAAAACAAGCAAAAGACCCGAACAGACGTTTCTCCAAGGACATTAAAAAAAGAGCCAACAGATATATTAAAAGGTGCTCAACTTCACTAAGCATCAGATAAATGCAAATTAAAATCACTGCGAGCTATCACTTCACACTTCATAAGGATAGTATTCCAAAAAGACAGAGATACAGTAACAAATGTATGGCGAAAAGAGAACCCCAGTACATGGTTGGCAGGAATGTAGATTGGTGGAGCCTTTATGGAAAACAATATGGAAATCCCTTAAAAAAAGTAAAAGTAGAGTTGCCATACAACCCAGTAACCCCTCTTCTGGGTACATACCCAAAAAAGTGAAATCACCACCTTAGAAAGGTATCTGCACACCCATCTTCATTGCAGCATTATTCATAATAGCCAAGATATGGAAACAATCTAAATGTCTGCCAACAGAAAAATGGATAAAGAAAATGTAGATATACATGATGGAATATTATTCAGCCTTAAAAAAGAACATGGAGGGACCTGAAGGACATTATACTGAGTAAAATAAGTCAGACACAAAAAGAAAAATGTTGTATGATCTCACTTATATGGGGAATTTTTAAAAGGTCAAATATTCAGAGAAAGAGAATGAAACTGTGGTTCACAGGATGGGAGCGGGGAGAAAACGGAGAGATGTAGGTCAAAGGATACAAAGTAGCAGAGATTCCTAGGATGAGGAAGTCTAGGGATCTAGTCTACAACATGAAGACTATAGTTAATGAAATTTTATCATATTGGGGATTTTTGTTAAATAGATTTTGTTAAGTAGCTCTTGTCATAAAAGAGTAACTAGGTAAGACAGTAAATATCTTAATTTGTCCCACCATAATAACCATTTTACTATCTATATGTATCTCATAACAGCATGTTGTAAACCTCAAATACACACAGTTGACATTAATAAATAATTTTCATTAGGCCGTTGCCTGGTACACCCCTATCCACTGGAAGCAAGCATGGGAGAAATTAGAGACTGACATTGAATTTAGCAGATGTTCAGTAGTATCTCCAACATTCCAAAGGCACAAGTTTCAGTGGACAGCATCTACAGCTACAATAACTAAAGAAAAAGAAGATCAACCTAAGAACCACATTTCAAACTATCAGATGGAACAAGCTCAAGTTTTTCTTAAAAGGTAAATGTTGTTTGGTTTCTTTGGTTGAATGGGTCCTTCCCACAATTGGTAACTGAGCATGTGGGAATGACAAGATGACAAATGGATGTGTGATATATAAATTAATAGTGATTTTTGGAAACAACTATTTTGAATAGGACTCAAGAAAAGCAGAAAAACAGAATGAGCAGGAAAATACTCATGGGGCAATGAAGACTGGTGATCTTCATTAGGTAGTACTGAGACCTCTCTGGCCATTGCACTTTTCACAGGAACTGTGAAAAGAGGCAAGGCTGCTGCAGAGAGGTGAAGAGGTGAGGTATCACCAAATCTTTAGCAGTGCTTAGGTGGAGGGAGAGGTATACATCCAGGAATTTTATCTTGGATCAAGAGCTGGCCGTGGACAGAGGTGCAGAATATATTATTCATTTGTAGGCAAATGCTTCTGAAGTAATAATAATAATTCTTCCCACAAAGTCTAAAAAGTCATATTCTCTTGGTCTTGAAATATGCTTTCACTTTAATTGTGCCCTCAACACTAATACCACAGCAAAAAATGGCTTTTGAGTTCCATTTAGGCTTTTTTTCTTTTACAGAGAGAAGGAAATCCCACCAACCGTTTTCCCCAATCGCAGCCCTTGGTGCCAGAATCCCTATGTCTCTGCACATCCTTACTGTCCTCTGATTGAACCACACAATATATGCATCACTGGAGGCAGCTTGGATAGACAGCCCAGGTCTCAGTCAACCAGACCTAATCGAGCCCCAGGTCAGTTAAAAGAGTACTTGTTCCAGCGGAGAGTAGGAGAGTAAGGAGTGAGTGTGTGTGTGTGTGTGTGTGTGTGTGTGTGTGTGTGTATGTGTGTGTGTGCACGTGCCTATGCATGCACATGTGTTAACTAGTGGGTTAAGTGATTAAAATTTGCTAAGTGTTAAAGATGATTCATATTCTCAAGAATAGATGGCACTTAAAGCAAGTATTGTCAACCATTCACTTACATTTCCCCTAGCACTGTCTTCCACTGTGCTAGATAAATACCTATTCTTTATAAATATCTGTTGAATGAATCAATGAATCAAAAGAACAGTGTGGCCAGCAATAGTATGTATGATTCTTGAAGTTCAATGAAAAATACTTTTTGTTTTTTCATCAGGCAGCAAAAATTGGTCTTATAAGTTACAGTGTATTGAAAAAAATTCCATCTTTTCCAAACTTTCTCCATTGGAAGTTTCTTAAGTTCTCTAAATAAAGCTTTTAGAGTTAGTATGATTAACACAGGATCTGTGAATGGATTTTAGGAAGTCCATGTACTTTCTACATTTGGCACAAAATTGTGTGGTGTCTGTATGATTTTTTTCTGGGGAGAGAGTCCATGAAGTTCATCAGATGTCTACAAGTATTTAACAAGAACTAGAGTAGAAGAACATAAAGCCAAGAAGGAACCAGACCCTCAACTATTGGAGAAGGCCTGTTTAATACATCAGCAATATCCTGGTGAAGTTATAATGACTCACACACTTTGATTTAGGAAAGAAGAGCTTATTTAAAAAAAAAAAAGTGAAATCTTAAGCAGAAACCCAATATATAAAATGCATAAAAATAGATCCGCCCAAGGTGAAGAGGATGTAGCAATTTCCACTGCTCATGACCCCCTTATTCTTCCTTTTCTCTTTGCCTAACATCTTTAAGACACCACAAAATCACAAGGTTCTCTGTAAAACAGTATGACAGCCATTGTGTTAGCATATGAGCACATCATTGGGAAATAGCACCCCCAAAACAGTACCTTTTAGAAGTGGAATGATGAAAATTTTGTAAAGTACTGAAAATATTTCTTTTTTATAAAATTGTGTACTATGTAGCTCTGTGCCTGAGTTTCCTCATCTGTAAAACTATGGGTCTGAAATTGAAGGCATCTTTCAGCAATAAACTCTGTGCATGTGTGTGAAGCTTTAGATATAGATACATTAGATAGATGTAACAACTTTTGTCTTTTATAATCTTTAGTACTTTATGACTTAAATTTGAAGCTCTCAAGAAGTATATTATGGTTTTTTAATGACAACCTTCGCTGTTTTACTTATTCAGAACAACTTATTTTCCAAAGAAATTTGATTTCAAAATTTTTTGAGGCAATTTTCTGTAATATAATGGTGGCAACTCATTTTGATTATTCAGTGACATTTGCTATTCAACACAAAACACTTCACTGTATGTGTATATTTTATAGTAGTAATTCAAAGATAGTTGCTTCGATACCTCTACAATCTTTGCACATCATTACATAACTTTTTAATTTTCCATTCACTAAATTTTCAGTATGAACAGATATACATCAGAATTGTATGATTTTTCTTTGATTTCTACAGCAAAACATGGCCCCAAAGAAAAAGATGTTATAAATGATTGGTTGCTGATTGAATGGATCAAGCGATCTTTGAATTACCAGTTCATCTCCTTGAAAGGATATATAACATGATTCTTCAAGGGAAGGTTACATGGTTTATTAATTACCCAGTATCTCTTTAATTTGCCTGCTTCTGGAATATTTGCTACCATTAGCATGCACTCAATAACTGGCAAAGAAAAAAAACAGACAAAACAAAAAATAATTATACTTGGAAGCTGTTCAGTTCTGCTACATATACCCTACATTAATAAATAGGCTAGTTTGCTGAGTTACAGAAAAATCTTCGATAGAAAGAAATCTATCTTCTATCTGAAAATTGTTGCCTCGTTTTAAATTGTGTCTCTCAAACATTCTACAGAGAAGCCCAGAGACTAGCAAATAGGATAATTTTAAAGAAACATGTACACATCATATGTCCAATTTATGCTAAACACATTTTGTTTTTAAAAACATGTTAAAATACAGAAAGCAAAATGTTAAAAGCACCCATATATTAATCATGCAGAATGAATGCATGTTAACATTTGTTGTATTGTTTCATGTTACCACAAAGAAAAATTCATAAATTTGAAGTTCCCTTTGATTGTCTTTGCAGTTCTGATCTGATATTAGAATAAATCATTCTGGATCTCATTTTATACTTGGTTTACATGCGTATGGATCCACATATATATATTTAAAATAACTTGTGTGTAGGCCGGGCACGGTGGCTCAAGCTCGTAATCCCAGCACTTTGGGAGGCCAAGGAGGGTGGATCACGAGGTCAAGAGATCAAGACCATCCTGGTCAACATGGTGAAACCCCATCTCTACTAAAAAAAAAAAAAAAATACAAAAAAATTAGCTGGGCATGGTGGTGCATGCCTGTAATCCCAGCTACTCAGGAGGCTGAGGCAGGAGAATTGCCTAAACCCAGGAGGCGGAGGTTGCAGTGAGCCAAGATCGTGCCATTGCACTCCAGCCTAGGCAACAAGAGCAAAACTCCTTCCCAAAAAAAAAAAAAAAACAAAAAAAAAAAACTTGTGTGTTTTTAAGTTACATAAATGGCATCATTCTAAATGTCCCTGCTCTTTTTGACTTAGTATAATTTGGGGGATTTAACTACGGTAATATAGAGAGATCTAATTCAGTCACTTTAACTACTATGTAGTATTTCATTATACAAGTTTACTGTATCTTGTTTATTCCCCTGTTAATGTTTTGCTCTTCAACAATGTAGATGAAAAAATTGTTTTAAATTTTGTAATTTTCTTTTTTGCTTTTAAAAAGTTTACCAAGTCTTTGAATGCATCCAAGAAAATGTTACGTCTATACCAATGATTATCCTTGTGCGTGTCTACTTGTATATACATACAAAGATTTCCTTTGAGGTTCACACCTAAAGTTTTTAAATCCTCTAAAATTCCTACAGGTATTTGTTCAGTTGTGTGGTACCTGTATCTTCAACTTTATTAGATTTTGCTAAATTGCTCTAGGAAGAATTTTATTAATTTATACTCCCACCAACATAATAAAATATTTCACATTCCCTTTATTCTCACTTAACTATATATTGCCAGAATCTTAAATTGTGTGCCAATCTGATGAATATTAACTAGTAATTCATTATCCTAATGTGAAATTCCTCTTTAATAGTGGGGTTGTTCATCTTTTCACATGTAAAAAAAAAATAAGGAAAAATTTCCATATTTTATAATGATAAATTTATGTGTTTGTAATTATTAATTTTGTGGGGGTATCCATTCCCTCAAGCATTTATCCTCTGAGTTACAAACAATCCACTTACACCCTTCAATTAGTTTAAAATGTACAATAAGTTATTATTGACTTTAGTCACCCTATTGCACTATCAAATAGTAGGTCTTATTCTTTTTTTTTTTTTTTTTTTTTTTTTTTTTTGCATCCATTAATCATCCTTACCTCCCTCCTTCTCAGCCCCAACTACCCTTCCCAGTCTCTGGTAACCATCCTTCTACTCTCTGTGTCCATGAGTTCAACTGTTTTAATTTTTAAATGCTACCAATAAGTGAGAACATTGTGTGTTTATATTTATTTTCCAATTTGCTTTTTGTATATGTCTTTAATACGTTTGAATTTGTTTTCATGTAGGGTATGAAATAGTGACCTCAGACTTTTTCCATATAGTTAATCATTTGTCTTAAAACCAAACAGAGGGTGCATCCCTCGTGTGCCCACTGATTTCTAGTACCACCTCCCTCCTGTGCTTGGGCCTGGGTCTGAGCTCTCCAGAGTGTTTTATTGATCTGTTGCTGTATCAATAACACTCTTCCCATTGTTACTGGTATGTAATCATTCTTTTGCTCTCTTCTTGCTCTTCCCTTTCAGTGTCATTTGGCTTTTCTAAAACTTTTTACTCCTCTTTACAAGAATAATTTTCATCAGGTTTCACATAAAAAAAAAAAAAACCATCTTGTTGCTAAAATGGTAAGAATTTTAGCTGTTTGTTATTAAAATGGTTTGATTAAAATGGTAAGAATTTTAAAGATCATGTTGAGAGAAAGTTGATACCTTTATGATATTGAGTTATGGTATATGAAATCAATTGTCAATTTATTCAGATTTCTTTCATGGCTTTCATTGATACTTTGTCTTTTTTTCCATAAAATTCTTGTAATCTTTTGTTAGATTTCTCACCCAGGCGGGTATATTGATTTGTTGTTACTGTTGCTTCTGCTTTTGAAAATGCTATCTCTTTCTATAACATTTTTTTCACTTTATTAAAGAAGAGGAAAATTATCTACATATATTGCTCTTGTTTCAACAAATTTCCTGAACTTTTTAGTTTTAATAACTTGTAGTCTCATGGATGATTTTTTGTCGTTTGTTTTTGAGACAGAGTCTCGCTCTCTCACCCTGGCTGGATTGCAGTGGCACAGTATTGGCTCACTGCAACCTCCACTTCTCTGGTTCAAGTAATTGTCATGCCTCAGCCTCCCGAGTAGCTGAAATTACAGATGTGTGCCACCACACTCAGCTAATTTTTGTATTTCTAGTAGAGACAGGGCTTCATCATGTTGGCCAGCTGGTCTCAAATTCCTGACCTCAAGTGATCTGTCCTTCTTGGCCTTCCAAAGTGCTAGGATTACAGGCGTGAGCCACCATGCCTGGCCTCATGGGTTGTTTTTTCCTCCTCTGTATTGTACAAATGTGTACAAATGATATCCTTTCTTTCCAATGCTTATGTATTTATATCAAGTTCTTGTATTATTGCATTGGCGATACTGTAATATGAAGTACTTCGAATGAGCATGGCCAACTTTGTTTTATTGATATTTTTAATGGGAATGTATCTAAAGTGATGTCATTTAGTAGAAGATTTGCTGAAAGTCACCACTGAG